TCAATAAAACGCAACATTTAAGCAGATCACAGCAAAGACCGGATACACAAATCAATTACTTAAAGTCAAATTCCTTTGTCAAGGCACAAAGGGGGTGAACGTGCCCAGACGCACATCCACACAATACCCCCTGGGGGATACACCTGCACCTGCACGTCCATTTCCTGGAGAAAAGGGGGGAGGGGGCGTCGGAAATTCCCCAATACTGGCCACTTACTACTGCTGTTGTTTTTAATAAAGCCCTTGGGTGAGACAGTAATAACCCAGGACTCACCCTCATTCTCCGCATGCCCAATGATGCTTCTGTTATTTGGATGGTAAAAGGAATATTTGTGTTATCCATTAAACAAAGAATGTCTCTTGATCGAACCAGCCGAATGTCAATATTTACACCATTTATCAATGCTCGGTCTTGATAGAACACATCACAATGTAAATGACCGGTGAGATCAATTGTTTTTCCGTCACTCAAATAGGATCGACGGGAAACTAAACCTTCATTACCCTCATCAACGTTATCCATCTTACCAGCAGTATCATCTGACCACAGGACACTACTCAGGTGTGAGTTCTTCGCATCGGTGCCGTAATTTAGAAGTGTTTCTATATAAGTTCGGTAAGCATATGCTTTATTGGCAGGTGTCACAGCTGTCTGATTGAAGGAGATATCTACTTGATCGAATAATGAGTGTAATAAATTGTTGACCGGACCGATAGTAGCGGACAGTCTAGGATTCTTCTCCGTTACTAGGGTTGGTATCGAAACACGTAACAGTAGGCGGATATGAGCTAAGTCAATGTATTCATCACCTTGTCCTGGTATATCGAACTCAATGGGTGAATTATCCGCGAGTGATGCTATTGGTTTATAGTGTACATCGTAGGAGGATTCTATGGCTGTCTGCGTTGGGGGTAAAGAAAATAAGTCCAACTTACTTTTTACTCCCTCACACGAATGAGTGTGCAAAAACGCCATGTTTTTACGTGAAAATATCGACAACTGATCGTAATTTGGTTCATTCCTTGTTTTGCTTTACAATTTTTATACGTTTCTTTGTAGTTTTCCCCTTGCGTTTCTTCGCTACCCATGGTTTCTTCTTCCTGTGCACCCCAGATGTTAACTTGCGGCGTTTGGACTATCGCGGAGCATGGCCAATCGCAGAATGAGAGTATGATAACATATTCCCAGCGTTGTATCCTGAGCCAGTCATCAGCGTATCATGTTTCTCCTCTGCCCTCCTCTTCAAATTGATACCCGATTCCCGTACGCGACTTCTCAGAGAGTCTTTCAAAGGTATATCATGCTCAAGAACATCACCTATGACATTCACACCTGAACGTAGAGCCTCTCTTTCAACAGCTGATGCTTCTTGTCTGAATAGCGGTAGTATTCGTCTGAACAATCCACTCAGGAAACTACCAATGCCATGCCCTTTTTAATTAGCACTACCTATGTACACACGACTTATACCTCCGTGTGCACTTGTGCTGTATCCCCCTCCAGATTCTGGTAACTCGTCGAAAATGTAGGCGTTCATAATCGCCATTATTCGGTACGTTTGAAGTGAAGTGTCACAGTTAACGTTCCGTGTTCAAATGGTATCGGCGCTCCATATTCATCCCTTATATCTATCTCGATCGTTTGAAATTTCGTACGTAGTAACGTATGTAAAGATCTGGTGAAAATACTTTGATTTTCATACCATCGTATTTATAATTATCAATGTCCAATGATACAATACGCATTAATGGGGTGTGTTCATCACCGGTTATATAGGTTTCGCATATATCCGAGTATACGTACATACTTTGAGGAAGACCTCGTGATAATGAAGCTGGCGTCTGACCGTCGTACGTACGTGTTCGGTCACATAATACCACACTTTTGTCTTCAGATCCAAAACCGGGGAGTTTCTTCACTAAAGGTGCTAAGTGCAGAATATGAAAGATATGTGCACAAGAAGTACCGCAGGTTCGTTCTACAGAGACGTAACCCCCGCAATTGAGAACGAATTTGATATGGTCTTTCATGAATGGCATGCCGTTCATACTATCTAGCAAATCTGTAATACTATTGTATATACCGTGTTAAAGATTCCCTCTCCTCCCCTCACGGTATCACCACCACTGCTATCACCGTCCTGTAGAAGATCGTTGTTCTTCAACTTGACAATTTGTCGTTCGTCTTGGGTCAGATAATTTCTGCTCTCTAGTGATACGTGATTGTTGTTACTTGTAGGTATATGCACAAAACCCATAGGTATATGAATTTCCGAGAGAGCCACACTCCATCTACCAGGTAAATTGACAACCTTTGGTAAATAGGTGATGAAACTGGTAGTTTTATTATCGGGGTAATACTGCATACTGCTGTTGCTAGGCAGTACAATCGAAAAATCGGCCTCCATGTGACTCATTCTTTTCCTTTACGACTCTGTACTCTGGATAACTCTTCTTCGCAGAATATCCCATCAATATCCTCACCCTTGAGGTCTTGTAAGATATACACTGCTGGGTTACGGTAACGAGTTTGATTTTAAAAACTTCTTCACTCCACCCCGACTCGTATCCTTGCTTGAATGCTGCTTTTGCTGCACTGATCCGCACCAGGTCACCGCAGTTGTGTTTAAGCTGTCTAGTCTCACTAGACTTACAGTTAGTACTGTGCCTTTTGGAGAGATTTTCTGCTGCCAACAGGGAATTTTTACAATTAACTTCACATGGATGGAAACGAGTCCCGGAATGTCTTGTATGATTGTAGTCGTTCACAATTTGCTGAAGAACATCGGCGTAGCGTTTGGTACGGGAATATGTGAAATATCTCCATAATCTTTCCTTCAGCGTTCTGTTAAACCGTTCAACGATGGCTGCTTTTATATCAGAATTGCGTGATACAGGATATTGAATGCCATACTTGTTTAGAAGTTGCTGAAATTCCAAATTTACAAATTCTTTACCGCGATCTGTTTAAAGAAGTCTCGGGGTACGTGGCTGTCGATTGTTCATAAGTATCCGTCTGAATGCCTGGGTTACTACCTTTGCACTCCTGTTTGTCAAAGGCTGTACCCACGCATATTTACTGCGAACATCGATGACTACTAGCATATAGGAGAACTCGTCATTGTATGTGGATATAGCACGAAGATCAACTAAATCATCAGCCTCCCAAACAGCATCAACTTCAGATAGGTTATATGAACGTCTATTATACCGGTGACAGCGGCGACAGTAGCCACGCGGGCGGTGTGTGGCTCCGACGATCACCCAAGCTAAGCAACGCTCAGTTGGGTTAGTACTTGGATGGGTGCCCGCTTAGTCACACCCATCGGCGTGTAGACTGCCGCCGTCAGGCACGGGTGCGGAGAGCTGGTGT